TGCAACACAAAAGTCATGGTTTACTTTTCCTGTCTTACATTCCATTTCCACAATTAAAACACAATTAAACAATTATTCCCTGAAATTCCTACGTGGTTTGAGCAAGAGAAGTGGGCAGTTACCCATATCAAATTTTAGTTGCTGTTTCAGAGCTGCAAAACAGCTTCCATCCTCTCTGAGGTACAGACCTGAAGAGCAAGGTTGTCTACAAAGTTTTCTTGGTCATTCTTATATGCTAACGTTATCAATTGATTAGCCCTGACTCACTGGTTGAAGCTAAACTGGCCCCAGATACAAAATGCAGTTGGTAGTTAGTAACTGAGAACCTGCTTGATGACACAGACGATGGGGGCTCTTAGGAACTTTATCCTGTTGTTTGAGTCGGTAAGTTTGACTGAGTCAGACTTGGAATGACTTGGAAAGTCAAAAATCTGGCATCAATTTCAAAGACTTTAATCCCAACGAAAGAAACCGAACTGTTGGTATGATGTTGTCAGCTGTATTCTTTTAATTTTAAAATTATTCTATGTTCACTGCACATTACCAATAATAGCCAAGAGATGGAAGTTATATATATATACACACACACATATACACATGCACATAAACACACACACATAATGAAATATTCAACAATAAAAAAGAATGAAATCTTACCATTTGTGACAATATGAATGGACCTAAAGGATATTATGCTAAGTCAGACAGAGAAAGGCAAATACTGTACAATTTCACTTACATGTGGAATCAAACAAAACAAATGAATAAACAAAACAGAAACAGACCCAGAGATATAGAGAACAAGTTGATGGTTGCCAAAGGGATGAAGGATGAGAATAAAATTTTTTAATAAAATAATTTCTTTAGCCATTTATATAATGTATGATTTTCTGTCCGACAATAATGGCCGTCGCCACAAACACAGCCTACTTTCATCTTTCAAAATAAAGTAGTCATGCCCTTGCTTTCTCATCAAGGGAAATTACTTCCTCCAGTTTACAATCTTCTTTTCTACTCATTATTTATTTCCCCAAGCTACCATTTCAGATATCTTCTGAAAAACAACAATCACACATTCTCAAAAGAGAATCCATGAGCAGGAAGTAAAGAGGGTAACTTGCAAATAACATTACCCAGTCATATCATAAGAAACTAAGATGTCTTAAGAATACTACATAAAAGTAAAATGTGTTATAGTATTTCATTATTAAATAGCAGCAAAGAAAGTCCAGATCCAACCATTCTACTAAAATTGAAATGTACATAATTCCAATTGTGCATGTGCAATGAAAGAAATGAAAGTTAACAGATCTAAATGAAGACAGACGTAAAAACTACTCATGGACAAAATATAGCTAATTTTAGTTTGTAATCTTAAATTTGAATGAAAATATAAAATGCCATAAAATAATGAGTGCATGACAACTACATATGTGAAGTACTAAAACAAGTAGTAGTTGACAGAGTTTATACTCACTGATCACTGCATAAAAACACTGATCACTGGATACAAACCAACCACTTAAAGAGACATATCCTATAAAAACTAAATTATCTTCATGCCCAATGTAAATAAAATAAAACAACAAACTAAGTAGCAATTACTATGTCAACGCAAACAAAAAGAATACAGTAAGTCCTCACTTAAAATCATGAATATAGCTGCAACCTTAAGCAAAACAATGTGTAATAAAACCAATGTTCCCATAATACAAACAAGGGCTAAGTTTCTAGTACATCTCATCAACTTTATAATGAAACAGTATTAACCTAAACTATGGTATTTGAGAACATGCTGTAGAAATGTTGACTTTATGAGGCATTCATAGCAAACCATTTCATTTCCTTCTTGAGTGTCCTAGTTACAAACACATTGGGACTCCAATTTTCCCCAAACCCTTTCCCCTCATAGTTACTCCTCACATTGTCTAAACCAGCACTGTCCAAAAGAAATATAATGCAAGCCACATATGTAATTTAAAATTTTCTAGTGGCAACTAAAAAGTAAAAAAGAAACAAGTGTGATTCATTTTTAGTATTAATTATTTAATATATACAAAATACAATCAGATCACTATGTAATCGATATAAAATTATTAAGGAGACATTTTACATTCTCTTTTCTCACTGTCTTTTAAATTCATTGTGTATTTTACACTAACAGCACATTGTGATTCAACTAGCCATATTTCAATTGCTCAACAACCACATGTGGCTAGTGGCTACTACATATATTCACTGAGATAAAAACAGAAGCATTAAAAATTGGAATGAAAAGAACTACGGACACTGACACTTTAAAAGTCCCTAATCCAGCTGTTCTTCATGTTCTATGTACTCAAATCTTTTTGAGGAGTCTTTAAAAGGTCCTCTCTTTTCTAACTACCTATGTGAGGCTGGTTTTCCTCACTTCAAACAACATTGCAACAGACTGAATACAGAAATGCATATGAAGATCCAGCTATCTTATTAAACCAGAAAGCAAAGAAATATGTACAAGTGTAAAACAATACGACTCAGCACTAATTTTTTGCTAAATTTGTAAAGCACAATCATTTATCACTGTAAGCACTTTGAGGGTACATCCTGCCCGTGCTCCAACAACTACGATCTGTTTTCAGTGCTTCACATAGGTAGTTGTCTCTCAGTCATTATTTTTGCATTTTATATTTTTAACTTGATTTCATTTTGTAATGTTAACACAAAAGGATTTTACTACATTTTTAAATGAATTAATAAGTGGTCTAAAATTTATATTCTAATTTCTAACAATGTAGATATATTCATAGCTATAACTCGCACATACAAAACCCCCCAAATTATTAAGCATATAATAAGATCCTAAGACCAAAAATTTGAGAGTTGCTATTCTAATCTATCACACAACTCCTGGAAAACAAAGAGGAAGAAATAAAAAATCAAAGTCTCAACGCATTCTTTCCTATTTCTGTATAAATTCCACTAAAATGACTCATTCTATCACTAACCTTAATTTTGTTATTAGGTATATAAATAAACAAATTTAATTCATCACATGTAGTTCACACACAGGGTGGGGTAAAAGGCTTACCATTATTCCTATGGAATACAATAATACATAACATAAGAATGAACTCTGTGTTTCATGTACTCACAACTGTGAACCTACTCTTGCCCACCCTGTCCAGTTGTTGAGGTAATTTGATGAGTAGAACTCTGAATGTACACACAGGCCTTCAACACACAGATACACGATTCAGTTAAAACTCACGTGGAAGCTTACTTAGAACACTTAGGTTAACTGACCAATCATCCCAAATGTTTTTGACTTTTTCAGAAGACATAAATGAGTTCCCATAATACTTTTCTCATTTTCCAAAGTGAGAGTCATTCACAAATAGTAATCAATCTTTTCAGCACTATAATATTTATATAGTATACATTAAGGAATCACAGTGCTCTCCAATCTTTTTCACTATATCCCAAAAGAAATTAAGACAGCATTATTCCCATTTAGGATTATAGAAAAAGTGTATTTTAACTGCTGTGACAGAATGCAACAGCAGAAAGGAGGAAGTACTGTGTCCATATTCGGGTATCCTGTTCTGATTCACCCATTGGACCAATAAAGAAATGTGAACAGTGAGACAGCAAAGGATTATTACAAAAATACAAATTCTGCCCTGGCTGGTGTGGTTCAATGGATTGAGCACCGGCATGCAAACCAAGAGGTTGCTGGTTCAATTCCCAGTCAAGGCACACACCTGGGTCGGGGACCAGGTGCCCAGTTGGAGGCACGCAGAGGCAACAGATCAACACGTCTGGGCACACTGATGTATATCTCACCCATCTATGTTTATCTCCCTCCCTTCCCCTCTCTCTAAAAATAAATAAATAAAATATTTTAAAAAATTTAAATGCAAATTCTAAACTTCTGTGAGAACATACCCATACCTCTAAAACTTGTGATGGATCTCAGAATTCCACAAATTCACCTCAGGTCCCAATTAACATTTTAAGGAAGCATAAGAGCAATCCAACCTTATATTTTGTAAAAGATTAAAGTATACCCTGGGCATTGTAATTTCACAATTTTGGAAATATCTGCTGAGATAATGTCAAAGACCTAAGTAATCCTTTGTTAACCAAAGATGTGTAGTCAAATAACAATTTATCTTTGAAAACTACTGATCCCAGATGAAATTCTCTGAAGAAAAAATATATAATAACGAGGGATTTCTTTCCAACTTACTTCTCATATTAACATCTATAGGATTTACACTTGCAGCGTGAACTTTGATAATGACTTCATTTGGATAGTGTATGATAGGTAACATCATGTCCCGAGTAAATCGAAGCACTTCATTCTTCCCATATTTATCTATCACCCAAGCAGGCATGACAGTGTTCCTTGGAGAAGTAGTACTAATCCTTCTAACTGAAGGCTTTTTTATAGCTTGGTTTCTCCACAAGCAAACTGTAGTACATGCTTTTCGTCTAAGTACACAATTCAGAAATTCCATTGTAAACACGTGGTTGAGCTGCACGCCCTAATTAAATTGCACTTGAACTGTCAGCCCTGAAATCGGTCAGATCTGCCAAACACACTGGCCTATTTCAAAATCGAAAATTCAGAAATGAAGGCAGCCTAATGAAGCAAATGAAATTAGAAGAATATGGTATTAGGTGGCTCCTCACATCTGAAATGCTCTAATTAACGTTCCAATCAGTATTCTGTCCATTCTCCTCCCCGCTTACACCCCCTTCCCTTGAAAACTAAACCCAAATCAAAACCCCTAAAATTGTGCCCGGTCCCAGAAGCACTCGGAGGGACCAATTGGCTCCGCTCAGGATCCCGACGCCACAGATATCCGGACGGTTCCAGCTCCCTGCCGTGACTCTAGCTAGGAATCTCCTTGCCACCAGCTCTCCGTCGCCGCGGGTCCTGCCTTGCCGCGCTAGCCAATCGCATACAAAGATCATTTCCTTGGGCTGCAATCCGACCAATGGAAGTACTCCGTGCTGAAAGGTTCTGTGATGAGCAAAGATGGCTGCGCCCATGTAATACCGGAGGCAGCTTGACCTTTCTCTTTCCTTTTTGTCACTTGGCCCCTGTAGTGGCAGGCTGGGCACCAGGACCATGCTGGGCCGGACCCTCCGAGAAGTGAGTGGTATTAGCTGCGGAGGGCCCAGGGAGGTCGGAAAGATTCGCGGAGTCCGTCGACAGGGAGTCCCCTGGCCTGACGACCTAACTCGGTCAGCTTGGTCACCTCCTTCCCTAGGGCTAGAACTGTTTGGGGTTTTAGGTTGTGTTGTTCATACCGGTTCTGGAATTACAACCTCAGCAGGGAGACTTCTGTACCGCGGAGCTGTGGGGTGGAAGTGTACACCGGCTTCTTAATTAGGTTTGCTCAGGCTGGTTCAGGCCCTGATTCTCTTAGAGGGTTTCTGCCGTGTAAGAGGGATTTTGCTGATTCCCTTCCGTCTCTCTTCTATCTTGACACTCATTTAATGCAGTTGTAAGGAGTCCAGCATCTCTGTCCCTTGCAAAAACCAAATTAATGATTTTGGCTCCGCCTCTCACCTTGATATATTCATTTTCTAGGCTTCAACTATCATTAAGATACCAATGATTGTTTTACACTCGTCTCACTTTCCTGGACGTCATTTTGTAATTGTAGGCTATGTTTGTGCATTTCTTCTGGACATCTCTTCCAAATGTCCTATAAACACTTCAACCTCAATTTAACCAAAATTGATTTCATCATTTTAACAGGACCACCTCTTATCCCCTAACCTTCATCTTAAAACAAAACCTGATTTCTGAATTCTTCATGGTCTCTTGCTAGTGGGGCAACTTTTATCCTAGTTGCTCTTAGATTATTCTTTAGCTATAATATCCAATAAATCACTAACCTCTGTTAACTCTGACTTGAAATTATGCCTGGAATCTGTTCTCTCGCTTTAGCGTGGCTGTCAGGGTTTTTAACTCACGTCTCTGTGCTTCTGAGCCTTTATAACTTGTCTGCAGGCCCACTGCTCTCAAAATCACCTCTAGCCCTTGTTAAAACTAAGCTGTGTCCCACTGAGGCAGATATGTGTGGGAAAACCCAGCATATATGGTTTAACCAAGGCTCCAGGTGATTCTTAATATTAAGTGGAGATTGAGGGCCTGCCCTGTTTTCTCTGTTCTCCTGGAGAGTCTTTTCCCCCATCTGGCAGTCTTTTAGAAAGCTGTTAATTATGAGAACTTTTTGAGTCTACAAGCTTTAAATAATAAACAGCTCTTCCCCCAAATAATTGTCCTTTTACCATTTTAATTGCATCTGCCTTTACTGTTAGTAAGAAATCCTATTTGTTCTTCTTTAAAAAAACTGAAGATTTGTCTTAAAATGAAATACAGTTGAAAAAACATGGTATTTTCTTTTTCTCTTCTTTTTCCCTTCAGCTCTGCCTTTTTTGTGCCACCCCTTCCTTGTGTTATTCAGTGAGCCGTCATGAGAAACAGCTTTCAGAGGAACTGACCCATAGGTAGTCAGGAGGTTGCCTTGGCATGATTGCTTTCACTTAATCACTCCTTTAACAATTATTTATTTGTTGATATGTGCAAAACATTATTTGGTGGTTATTTTCCGAACCCAAAATATATCTTATGTCCACACTGTATTTTCTCCATATCATTGTCTCATTGCCCCAAATTTTACCTATTAGAGAATAATTTGGTACACATTCTATTTTAAATATGTAAAGATGCCTGAAAGGCTGAAAGATTTATTCATCCATTGTTGTAAATTATAATAGTTCATTCAAATTTCTCTCTTTCATCACACTGTAGTTGAGATAATCAATTGAAGAAAGGGAAAATCTGCTGGAGGGGAAATTAAGGGGAAGGGCTAGAAATTGAATTTTTGAGACAATTTGGGAAACCTAAGTGGAGGAAGCCCTGGGAGGAAGAACTAAAAAGAGTTACAGTGCCAAACAGGAGGTAAAACTCCTATTTGTGAATTTCACACAGTTACATTGAAGAAAGGGAGGAGTCTTACTTCTACCTCCCTTTTGGAGACATGACCACTCCGTTTCTAGGAACCAGATACCAGGCCAATATTACTAATCCAGCGCACTTCTTGGGGTGGGAGGATAGGGATCTAGTCTAGCATTTCATTATTGTCCTGTCAGAAAATTGATTCCAGATTTTAAATAACTCAGTTATTCATTCACTTAGTGAATATTTATTGAGCACCTCTGTATTCCAGACACTGAGGATTAGTGTTGAAGACAGACAGAAGCTCCTACCCTTGTGGTACCCTCACTAGCGTGGGATTTCAGGCATTAAATAAACTTTTTAAAGTAAATAGTACAATTTCATGTAGTATTAAGTGCTATGAAGAGAGATTAAGCAGGCTATAGGATGAGAACTAATTGAGGGAGCTGGATGTTTTAGCTAGAAGTTGGGGGGAGTGGTCAGGGAAGGTTTCTCTGACTGAGTGGGTGACATTTAATAAAGCCTCGAAGGAGGATATGGAGAATGATCCTTGGGAAGATCTGGGAGAACAGTGTTTCAGGCAGAGAAAACAATGAGTGCAAATACCTTGAAGCAAGAGCAGGATTGACATGTTCAAAGGAGTAGCAAGAAATCCAACATACCCAGGAAGAAGTGAATGAGGAGAGGGTTAGAGAGATTACAGGAGCCAGACCATGGAGAAATTTTTAGGCCACAGTAGGAAGTGTGGGTTTCACTCTGAAAAGCTATGAGTTTGTGGACATGATCTGGTTAAAAATGTAAAAAGCTCCTCAGGCTACTGTTAAGGATTATGGCCTATAGGAAAGCAAGTGAGGAAGAATGCAGACCAATTAGAAGGCTCTTGCTTTGGCAGGTGAGTGCAGCATGAATGTGGTGGTGGGAGTAGAAGTAATGTGAGGTGGGTATTCTTAAGTTAGGGCTTACCGACAGATTGGGATACAGAGTTTAAGGGAGAAGAATTAAGGAGGATGCTTGGGTTTGGGGCCTGGGCAGTTGGGAAAATGGTAACATTTATCAGGACTGGAAAGACTCTAACAGGAGCATATTTGAGATTAGAAGGTTATCAAAATTTCTCTTCCGGACATGTTAATTTTGAGATGCTTTCTAGATAATCCAAGTGAAGATGTCAGTTAAGCAGGTGGATATAGGAGTATAGAGCTCAAGAAAGAGGCTAGGTATGAAGCTATAAATTGGCCAGTATATAAAAGATAATTGAATATGTATGACTAGAGGAGATCACCTGGGGAGTTGAGTAGAAGGTCTAAAACTTTCCAGCATTGAGGGGTCAGCATTAGGGAGCAGGACCAGCAAAAGACACTTGAGGGAATGTGCAGTAAGGCAGGAGGAAAACCAGGAAGGCTTGGTGTCCTGAAATACAAGTGAAGAAGTGCTTCAAGAAGAGAGTAATCTCTTATGTACAGTACTGCTGGACTGAGCAGTAACCACTGGATTTAGGAAGGTGCAGGTTGCTGATGACCTTGGTATGCTGCTTTCTGGGACAATGGAGACATGAGCATGAATGTTAAATGAGTCTGGTAAAGACAGTAATAGTCAACAGCACACTCAGCTTTCAAGGGCTCTTCTATACTTTGAGCATTTATCAAGACATCTTTTTAAAGATGTTATTTACTTATTTTTAGAGAGAGAGGGAAATATTGATGTGAAAGAGAAACATCAGTCAGTTGCCTCTCTTATGTGCCCGCCCAGGGCCAAACCTGCAATCCAGGCATGTAGCCCAACCAGGAATTGAACTGGTGACCTTTCGGGTTGTGAGATGGCACCCAACCAACTGAGCTACACTGGTCACAGCAAAACCCTTTTTTGTTTTTTATTTATTTTTATTTCTTATTTTTACAAATGTTTGAGATCAAGTATCTCTGTCTTGCTATGGAATTGTGCTAGACAGATAATTATGCAACAATTGTTTTAAGTGGGGGGAAGGACAATAAAACACTCCAGTTGTATTGTAACAGTACCTGCCTGCAAAATCTTTTTTTAAAGACAGTTCTCCAGCGTGCTCTTTGTAAAGTTAATAAAACGTTCTCTACTTTGTTACAGAGGAGTAAATGCTGTCACCCCTGTGTAGAGAATTGTAGAGTGTAAGTGGTCCAAAGCAGGGGCTCTGGAAACAAGATCAAGCTTTGCTTGAATCCCAACTCTGCCATTTTCTAGCTATGTGATTTTAAGCTGGAACTTTATTACTTTATCTCTCAAATAGAAATATCAGCCCCTTAGTGTAAATGTAAAGGGTAAATGAAATATAAAGCATCTAGGATAATACTTAGGACTAACTGCTATTACACTAATTTTGTTACAGGGACAAAATTACTAGGTTGTATAATTTTCTTTTTCCTTGTTTTCTAAGAAGAGTGGTTTCCTGAGAAAGATTTCTTAATTTTTCCAAGAAAGTATGTTACTGCTTTTTATTGCTGCATAATTTGTATCCAGGGGTGTCCAACCTTTTGGCATCTCTGGGCCACACTGGAAGAAGAGTTGTCTTGGGCCACACATTAAATACATTGCGACATGTAGTCACAAATACAATCTCATAATGTTTTAAGTAAATTTACAGTTTTGTGTTGGGTCGCATAGCTATCCTGAGATGCACGGAGCCCATGAGCCACAGTCTGGACACCCCCAGTACTATAAACTTTACAGCTAAAATTCACACAATCTTACACACACGCACATACAATCTTAACATCTCAGTTTTGTGGGTCAGGAGTCCAGGAAGGAAGTAGACAGTGTCTGCTTAGAGTCTCACAAGACCGAAACCAAAGTGTCAGCCAGGTCTGTGGTTTCATCTTAAGTCTCAGGGTCCTCCCTGGTTGTTGGCAGAATCTGTTTCCTTGCCATTTTAGAACTGAGGTTTCCATTTTCTTGCTAACTATGGGGGCAGTAGAGTAAATGAGTTTAAGGGACAGGAAATGTAGTATAACCAGAATTGAGATTCAGAGGTAAGAAGATACTGGTAATGATGTAGTCTGCTGTGACCAAGTGAGTTGGTCAAGGGTGAGGTGAAGGAAAAGTTCATGTGAAGTGAGGTCAGGAACTGGAAGGCCAGGTGTCAATGCACATGACTTGAGTTTGATTAGTCAAAAATAGCAACAGCGGCTATAGTAAAGATTACAGTGAGCTAGCTGCTGAAATCTTCAGTGAATGAAAAGGAGTAGTAGGGAGACTTAGTATAGTATACTAGTGAGGGGACTATAATCACCTCCAAAGGCTGTGCTTCAGGTGAGCTGGGGTGTTGAAAGTAGAAGGAAGAGAAAGGAGTCAGGGCGTGAGAGGGATGGCTGCCCACACATTCGTGGCTCCCCCGGACTCTGGTGTATAGTAGGTAGGAGCTGAAACAGCCAACCCTTGAGGAAGCTGCAGGAGAAGCAGTGGCCTCAAGGAAAAGCCTAGTTTCATTTAGAGGAAAGAAATACCAGGGAGAATTTGTTTAACAGAAAGTTTTATATTGAGTTGGCCAAAACGTCCATTACATTTTTTTTCTGTACAATAGCTCTACTATTGCTTAGTTGTCTTCAACTTCATTCCAAACAATTTTGTTAAATTGTATTGTGACAGCTCTCATATCAGCATGCATTTTTTTAAAAACTTATCAAAATTGGTAAATTTTTGTATAGCCATTTTATTATTGAAGATGGAAGAAAACATGCATGTATGCATTATTGTTTCAATTAAGTTAAAAATGCAACTGAAACTCAAAAAAAGATTTGTGCAGTGATGGAGAAGGTGCTGTGACTAATTGAATGTGTCAAAAGTGGTTTGTGAAGTTTCTTGGTACTACTGACATTTTGGCCACATAATTCTTTGTTGTGGGGCTGTGTTATGTATTGGAAGATGTTTAGCAGCACACTTGGCATCTACCAACTGGAAGCCAATAGCAGGAGATAGCCGGCATACTCAAAATATCCAAATCAGTAGTTATTGGTGAAAATGAAAAATGTCTCTTTTATTTTATGGAAAAAATATCATGGATTTTTGGCCAACCCAATATTTGATTTCATCCTCTATTCAGATATGACATCTTTAGTTCTGTCTTAGGAGAGCTGTACTATTTATATCTCATATTCCTTATGCTCAGTCCATTCTACCTCATTAGCATCTTTGTTTTCATTTCTCTTCTCCAGTTCCCTTACTGATTTTCTCAAATCCGGATTTCCTAAAAATGGCCCTAACAAAGATTAGCACCATGTCAAATGAGTGCTTCTAGGCAATCTCACTTCCTTCAGCTGTCACTCCTCACCTCTTGTTCCCATACTAGCTGACTAGTCAGAAAGTGGCTTAGGGATAGTGGGCATTAGGGGAGTTGGGGCAGAGAAGGAGAGGAAGTGGCAGACATGGTTTCCCTAATTTTTACAACTTTGCCATGGGATAGGCCTGCCTATATAGCTCTCAGTCTCTAGCTTTGAGTGTTTGCTACTTCTGACTCTTGTACCCAGCCTACCACTTTCTCCCTTCTCACTCCATCTCTACAGAACTGAAATGCACTGCTATCTTTTCATTTCTCTCCAGCTGTTTTCTTAGAGTTCACATTTCCTACAAACCAATGAGCAGAAATATCTCTTCTTGTCACTAGCTTACCTCCTTTAAGTCAGGCCCTGCTGCTTTCCATCCCTGTGTCACTCCCTCGACCTCTGCATGGCAGTCCTTTCCTCCTCTTGTCCATCAGCATTAGGTCCTCTCCGTGGCCTATTCCCACAGCCTAATTTAAAACCCTCAGCCAGCCCTAAGTACACTACTGCTTTGATGATTTATTCAACAGCTGAGAGCAGATCATTTGCAGATTTTCCTCTAAATGCAAGCTCCTGTTGCTTGATGTATTTAGGACATGTGAAAAATAGAGTCAACTTAAAGGACAAATTAAGCTTCCACTAGTGCAGACAGAAATGGTGAAGGAGCTTATGTTAAGAAATTACCTCTGCCCTTTACTATTTGTGTGACTTTGGACAAACCCCTTAACCCCTCTGATTTTCCACTTTTTCATCTCTAAAATGAAGTTAATAATACCTAACTTCTGTGGTGTTTTAATTGTTAAGTGAAGTAATAATGTATGTAAAGCCAGCAACAGTGCCTGGCTCTTGATAAATACTCAATAAAGATTGTTTCCCATCCCCATTATGTCTGAGCTCCCATCTTATCCTATTATTTTTTCATATCACGTCCGAAGATTTGGTATTGTCTTTGACTCTTTGTTATTCCTTTATCTTAACTGATAAATGTGCATAGCTACTACTACTATAGGAAATATTAAATAATTATCACTTTACCTCAGGCTTCACTTACTATCATTATGCAGGTTCCGGTCACTTGAGTATAGTTTATTTTAATGCTTTCTTTACCAGTCTTCTTAATACAGCAAAGATAGGATTTCAGGAAAGTTCATTTGCCTTTGAATCCATATTTTCTAAGCATTTCTCTCAATGTGTAATGGCTTTTGCTTGAATTCTACAGTAGACATAAAGATCTGTTTAATAAAGATCATTTATTCAGAGCCATAGAGTCCTGTGTCGCCCTGTCTAGTTCATTTGTCCTTCCTACCCTACCCTGCCTGTGTGGCAGCTAGCCGCTCTCTGTGCACTCACTCTGCCTGCACCCGGCCGGACCTGTCCGTCTCCTGGCCAGGATGGTTTACCTAAACCATTGCTCAACTCAGAAACAGAGTTGCTTAGCTTAGCCTATGAATGTGTATCCTCCATCCCATCTTCAAGCTCATGGAGTTGTTACCCTGGTTCACTGCACTAAGTGTAGAGTTGATAGGTTCTCTTGGTTTTGAATCCAAGCCTTACTTCAAAATTTCCTTCTTAACCACTCTGTTTGCCCAGCTCAGTGTAATATTTGAAACTGGTGCTGACTCAGCAAAGGGTTTTTTGAATGGCATATATCACAGGTTTCGGCGGCACTGAAACAAGGCCAAATTACTCCAACTGAACTCTGTCAAAAATGTCTCACCCTTATCAAGAAGACCAAGTTTCTAAATGCATACATTACTGTATCAGAAGAGGTGGCCTTAAAGCAAGCTGAAGAATCAGAGGAAAGGTATAAGAAAGGTAAATTACTTTGAATTATACTTAATTGTTATATCCTTAGAGAAAGATTAATTGGATGTAGCAGTCTCCATTTGGCAAGTGAATCTTTTCACATAAAAAATTTCCTTATTTAAAGAACTTGCCATGAGGTTTAATGAAAATGAAGCAATTTGACATATGAAGCTTTATGGTGTCCAACTGCAATAATTTTTAACATGGATTTTATTTCTGAAGAAGTATCTTACCAAGAACTAATAGTTACTATAACAACTAGTATTAATGTGTTGTTATATCTTGAACTAAATACATCATTCTGTTCTTTTGACCTTTTTAACATAGGTCATTCACTGGGGGAGTTAGACGGGATTCCTTTTGCGGTAAAAGACAACTTCAGTACGTGTGGCATTGAGACCAGCTGTGCATCAAACATGCTGAAAGGTAAGTTTTAACTGCTCGCAGCATTAATAGTCTTACAAAAAGAATTCTTTCAGTTTCAATTAAAGATAAGATACTAAAGTACCAAGATATTCTCAGACTAATTATATCTGCAAAGGAGATGCTTACAGTAGAACATTACCTTTTTACTGTTTGCTCTTTCAGAACCCAAAATTATCCCCTAGAGGTAAGCCAGCTTCGTGGGCAGGTCTTATTTGGGGAGTTTTAGACTCAGCAGATTGCCACCAACACACTAAGTCCCTCTAACTGCCACCCATTGATGACAGGGGACTAAGGATGCAGTGGCTGTCATCACCGGTCTCTAGAGGACGGAGTGAGGGTTTGTTAGTGTCCACTGTCCTGCCTTCCTTTTTCTGATTCCTCTACCTCTTGGGTCATTATACTTATCTGAGTTGAGTATTGTGTTGCTTGGTTTTATTCTTAACAGTTTAGTAAGTCAAAAAGGAGTCATGTTTATCGAGATGTTTGGATCCCAGGAGGAAAATAAGATGGCAAAGGATTATTCAGAATACTGCAGACTAACAGGAGTGATCTGAGGTGTGTGCCTCAGGTCCCTCAGATAGGGCACTGATTTTCATGGTTTCGGAATATACACTAGATAGAGAAAATTTATTAAGTATAAATCAATAAAATGTGTTACTAGAAATGGATAGAAATTACTGTGTTAAAGCTTCATCTGAGAAGAAAAAGTCAAGTACAATGAGCAAAAACAGGATTTGTGATTAGTTTCAAATTAACTGGGCACCTCTCGGACTGTAATACAGTATTTTGCAATATTAACTGTTAAAACTAATGTTTTTAGATTATAAAATAGTGAATATATAGCCTGTCTTTGGAAAACACAGCAGGTAGCAGTACAAAAAATTAACTTTTGGAAGAAAGTACAACCTACCAGTCAAATTAGGAATAATTAGCACATGTTAATACAAGTTACTTAATTGAGGAGTAAAATCTTGTTTCTTGAATATGATTTACATGCTCACTGTTTTATTTCCTATAATAAAAATAACTGAATTTTTCCTTAGGTTATATTCCACCTTATAATGCCACAGTAGTTCAGAAGTTGTTAGATCAGGGAGCTCTGCTAATGGGAAAAACAAACTTAGATGAGTTTGCTATGGGGTAAGTAAAATTGAAATTCTCTTCTCTTGCTTCTTTTATCTGTGTCTTTAATTTCATTATGTAGAAAAGTAGTGAGGTGATTTTTTGAAGACTCTAATGCCAGTTTCTCAGTCCCTCCGTGAGATTATGTTCTGCCATCTAATAAATATATGGTCATATCTTGTTTTGGTTTTAGTTTGCATTTCCCTGATAACTAATAGTGTTAAACATCATGTATTTTGCCACTTGTATGTCTGAAGAACCTATTCAAATCTTTTGTCATCCATCCATTTTTTAATTGTGTTGTTTGTCTTATTGAGTTATGAGTTCTTTTATATATCCTAGGTTCAAGTTCATTACCATATAGGTGACTTGCAAATATTTTCTCCAGATCTCTGGCTTGTCTTTTCATTGTCTTGGCACTTAGTAAATACATGTTAAATGGATTAATCCATGGATGTAAACTCAAACACAGGTTATTACGACATTGCCTTGAACAGCTGGTCAAAATGAGTGTCATCAGTGAGGGTGGAAAGAACATCGTGTACCTCCAGATGGGATCCCAGAGAGGAACACACCAGCATCTGTGTGATTTTCCAGCTGAGGCTGTATAACCTAAAGTGATAACAAGAAAACAAAAGACAAATCTGAAAGGAGAACCTTTCTATTAAATGTCAGTATCAAGAAACAAAGAAAGGCTGTGAAAATGTTCCATATTAAAAGAGGCTAAAAAACATAAAACCTAAAATTTACAGAAGAAAACATAGGAGAAAATCTTTGTGACCTTAAGTTAGGTAAAGATTTCTTAGGACATATTAAGTACAGTTTGTAAAATGAAAAATTGATAGATTGTATTTTGTTAAAATCAGTAACTTTTATGTTTTGAAATACACTGTTTAAAAGTGAAATAAACTACAGACAGAGAGAATATTTGCAACACATGTATCTTAGAAAGCACTGGTACCCAGTATATACATAAACTTTCCCAACTTACTAATAAGAAGACAGCTCAGGTTTTTTTTTTAATTCTTACCCAAGAATATATTTATTGACTTTAGAGAGAGAGAGAGAGACAGATAGAAACATCACTGTGAGAGAGAACCATTGACTGGTTGCCTTCGATATGTGCCCCAACCGGGGATGGAACCCACAACCCTTAGTGCACGGGATGAAACTCCAAATAACTGAGCCACCCGGCCAGGAAACAGTTCAGTTTGTTTTTTTTTTAATGGGTGAAAGATGTAAGCAGACATTTCATTAAAGAAAATATACAGTTGGCAAATAAATACATAAACAATGCTTGGCATTAGTCATTAGGGAAACGCAAAGCACAATGAGATGCGCCTGTTAGAATGGCTTAAAAGATGACAATGTCAAGTGCTGAGAAGGATGCAGAGCGATCGGGTTTCTTACGCAGTGCTGGTAGGGATTTCAGAATGGAATAGCCACTTCGGAAAATGGTTCGGCAGTGTCTTCTAAAGTTAAACATACGCTTACCATGTGACCCAGCAGTCTCAGTCCTGGGTATTTACTCGAGAGATGAAGATGCATGTTTATACAACAGCACTGGCTAGGGCCTTTCAGTACAATACTTACTGTGGTTTTATTCAAATTGCCAAAAACCGGAAATAACTCAATGTTCATTGGCTGGTGAGTGATTTCAAAAGTGGGGAAAAAAAGGCTTAAGAGATAATGATAACTAAATGCAGTACCTGACTCAAGACCTGAGAGGGCATTAAGTGCTATAAAGGACATTATTTGATCAGCTGACAAGATTGGATGGTGCACACTAAATTAGGTAAACGTTTTCTGTTTATGTTAAATTCACTGAGATTGATACCTATACTTGGACTGTATAAGAGATTACACTTCACCTTAGGAAATGCATACTGAACACAAACTGGAGTATTTAGGAGTAAAGGGCCATGGCAATATAATTTACCCATAAATGGTTCAGGAGAAAAATAAAACTGTGTGAGCACAGAAATGATAAAACAGATGAGGTAAGATGTTAACAATAGGCAAATCTGGGTAGAGGGTGCAAACTGCTTTGTATGCTGTTTTTATTTTTGTAATTTTTCTGTAAGAGTGAAATTATTTCAAAATTTTAATGTTATTAGTGTTCCACTTACCATGCTTTTCTTAAAACTTCTGATTAAAAGAGGGATTCCTTCAAAAGACTTTGTACTATTAACTGTTCAAATGTTTGTGGCACTCTTCAACTAGAAGTCCTTAATTTACAAAGAAAATCATCTTAAGCTGAATTAGCTGATCAGTTTAGACAAAAACCCTCGTTTCTTAGCAGGCTAGTTTTCTCTACTTTCTATCATAAATGTGCTTACTTTCCACCTTCTACCTCCTCACCCATCTAATTAAAGCTACATCTGAGCAGGCTTCCTACCTATTCCAGTTCAATTTACAGTGGATTATACAGTGTCAGAAGCAAATAATCAAGAGATGAAATTTTCACATAAAACGAAAGCTTCATTAGGTCTGTCGTTTCACTTCTTCATCTCAGGTCTGGGAGCACAGATGGTATATTCGGACCAGTTAAAAACCCGTGGAGTTATTCAAAACAGTACAGAGAAAAGAGAAAGCAGAAGCCCCGTGGTGAGACTGAGGATTCAAATTGGCTTATAACAGGAGGAAGCTCAGGAGGGAGCGCGGCAGCTGTATCAGCATTCACGTGCTTTGCGTAAGATGTTCCATCCGTCTGTGCTTTGAAACCCAACCTCATACAAATGGTCATAAACTATAGGCAAAGTCCAACAATAGAGAAGTTCATACCTTGGTATTTTTGTTTCTTTTTAGTGAATCATTTGTGTTCATTGGTATATCAAAATTTTATCTTTTGAATACACTCAACTATAATGTTCATTTTATAGTTTCAGCCTTAAGATAACATTTGAAGTCTTCCTATATAATACCTGGTTCTCTTAAAAACAAGATTTCCGGGTCTGCAGAATAAACCAGTCAGCAAAAGTGGACTTCAGTGAATGTAATTTTTAAAATAATTTATTTGGGTGTCTGCTTGCTGATTGTACAAATATTTAGAGACTAATAGTACCGTGGCTTTAGCTGAATGCTACTGAGTTAAATTGTTTGCTGTGGTTTATCCTTCAGCTAACTCTGACTTTAGTCAAAAAGAAAAAAGTGCTCCTAATATGTATCAATAGAATATTTAAAATAGTGTTTTTACAATCAGTGACTAAAAATGTGTATCAGTAATTAAAGGTTTTTCAAGTTTGTGGAGAGGTGATTTGTAAACTCGTACTTCATATTTCGAAAGCCTCAATCATGCTTTATGTCTTCAGTCCCATTTGTAAAGCGTTCCTTACGCACCTGCAGAAGAATAAATAAATCCTGCTGTTGTTACATTTATCTCTCCTTAATTATCTACTGAAAGTAAGCCCCTGTGGCACTGCAAGCAATAAATTATGTATATTTTTTAAAGCTATGGAGATTTAGACTCAACAGATTTTTTTTTGTTTCCCTGAAATCGTGTTAACAAGTAAGACCATTTCATCTCTGTGAGGTTTTGTAGCGCTGCATTAATATTAATGAGAGTTCTGGTAAGTTAGGACTGCCAGATGAGGTGCTCTTTCCTGTCCGCATCGCCCCACGTAGTGCTCATCTCGCTGCATGGGCTTTGAGAAGATGGCATTTTGACACATAATTCCTATGGAAATGGAAATTTTACTTGTACATAGCCATCAGTGAGTCCTAATAAGAAAATGTATCCTTTTAGAAACTGTGAAAGCAAGTCTGATTTTGTGGCTCAGATGGACTTGGAAAGAAAGGCAATCTAATTTGCATTTTCTGTACAGCACAAGGGCCATGTGACCAGTAGAAGGCTTCTTCAGTCCAAAGTTTCCCTCTGGGTGCAGTCAGGAGCAGCGCAGACCCAGAGCATCTCCAGACTGAATGGGTCCCAAACCGTCAAGTGTTCTGCTTTGTTCCCTGCCCCCAGATTTTGATTCAGTCCTTCTGTAATAGTTTTAAAAATGGGAAGATTCTTGGAATACTCTGCACCACTAAAAAGAATGAGCTAGAGCAGTAGTGGTGTGGAAAGATGTCCCAGATACACAGTTAAGTGGAAAACAAGTCGCAAAATAGTACATTTAGTATTTTTATTAAAAGTAATAATTACATATGTGTATACAGGGTGGGGAAAAATAAGTTTAAAGATGTGAGTATACAAAACAGATTTTTTGTTTTTAATTTTTAATTGTAAAATATACATAACAAAATTTACCTTCTTAACCATTTTTAAAAATGTGTGTTTATTGATTTTAGAGAGAGGAAGGGAGAGAGAGAAGCGTCAGTTGGTTGCTTCCCGTGCCCACCATGACCAGGAATCGAACCTCCAGCCTTTTCATGTCCCGGGCAGTGCTCCAAACAACTGAGCCACACCAGCCAGGGCCATCTTGACTATTTTTTTAACTAAATATCTTTTTAAATAAAGACTTTTATTTGTTGATTGATTTGACAGAGAGGGGAAAGGAGGGAGAAGGAAAGCGAGAAAAATATGGATGTGAGAGAGAACTATCTATTGGTTGCCTCTTGTAAAAACCCAGACCAGGGGATGGTACTGCAACTTGGGCATATGCCCTGACTGGGATTCAAGCCGGCCACCTTTTGCTTTGCAGGATAACATCCAACCGAGTTACACTGGCCAAGGCCATCTTAACCATATCTAAGTATATAGTTCCATAGTATTAAATACATTCACACTGTTGGCGGCCGATCTCCAAAACTTCTCCATTGCTCAAACTGAAACTCTGTGCTTATTAAACAACAGCTTCCCATTTGCCTGCCCCGCACCGGCCCCACCAAAAGCCCCTGGTAATCACTCTTCTACGTTCTGTCTCTATAAATTTCACTGCTCCAGGTATCAAATGTAAGTGAAATTAGGCAGTAGGCAGTTTTTGTGGTTGACTTATTTCACTTAGCATCATGACCTCAAGGTTAGTTTTGGTGGTAGTTTTGTTTGTTTGTTTTTGTTTTTTTGAAGAAAAACATATACTCAATGGGTAACTGGGCAAAACAGTGAACAGATACTTCGTAGTGGGTAATGCAAATACAAATTAATGTGAAAATTATTTTAAAATACACACCAACAAAGCTTTTTAGTTATTACTTTAACCATATTTAAGAACTGCTATATTCAGTGAAACATAATGAAACATTAAACAATCTGATTGACTTTAGTTGGAAATATAAATTGACATAATCTTTTCGATGAGTAATTTGACAGTGTATATTAAGAACTTATAATAACAGGCAGACTCTTTGGCCCATTAACTCTGCTGCTTGGAAGCTGACCTAAAGAATAAGTAAGTAGACATATGGACAAAGATTTATGTTTAAAGGTATTTATTACAAAGTAATTGATTATGCAATATTATCCTAGTTGGCAACAACATGATGTTTAAGTAAATTAAAATACATTTCTATCCGTGATTCTAAATAGGATAGCAGAAGGGCCGTATCTGAATTTCTGGAAAAGGCTTGCTTATTTGGTAAAAGCATAATGTAAAATTGCCATTTAAGGAAAATATGAGATTTGTATGTATGTTGATAAGAGTATACTTTAAAATATTTGATAGAATATAATACATACTTTAAATTTTCCATAATTTTAATGACATAATAAAAGGCTCATGATAAGCAAAAAAGGGATTGAAACATATGATTATACAACAACCTGAACTATGAAAGAGAAATGCATTTTAAAAAAGACTGGATGTTAAATGCCAAGTGTTAACAGTGTTTGCCTCAGGATGGTGGAATATTTTGTTACCTCTTACCCTTTTCAATATTTTAAGAATTCTCTGAGATGAGTATGTTTTGCTGTTGTATAATCAGGGGAAAATACATTTTAAAGATACTCATTTAAAAAGGTAGATTCCAAATGTAGAGATGATGTCATTCTTTTAAAGAAAATTCCATTTAAATTTCAGGGCTTTAGGATCAGATACAGGAGGATCGACCAGAAACCCAGCTGCCCACTGTGGGGTTGTTGGTTTGAAACCAAGCTACGGCCTAGTCTCTCGTCATGGTCTCATTCCCCTGGTAAACTCAATGGATGTGCCTGGAATCTTAACCAGATGCGTGGATGATGCAGCCGTTGTGCTGGGTATTTATACGGTTCCATGCAGTTTTAAGATATCACAGTTTCACTGTAAAACAATATGTCTGTCACTCAAGTGTTTTTCTTTCCAGGTGTACTGGCTGGGCACGACTGCAGAGACTCCACCACTGTACAAGATCCTGTTAAACCACTGATGCTGCCCAGCTTGACGGATGTGAGCAAACTCTGCATAGGAATTCCGAAGGTAACTTTCCCCTCAAGGCAAATACAGAGCATAGTTTTGGGAAACAGACTGGTTGGGTTTGAATCCCTGCTCTGCCACTTTCATTAGCTATATGACTTGAGCGAGTGGCTTAATCTCTCTAAGCTCAATTTCCAATCTATAAAGTGGGGATAATAACAGTATTGATTTCAGAGAGTGCTGAGTTTGAATTAGATAATCATCATGGGTATGTAGCATGTAATGTACAGCATGTAGCATGCTACATGCTGTACATTACATGCTAGTTAATAATACTGTACTGCATCTAGTTAATAATAATACTGTATCGCATATTTGAAAGTAGCTAAGAGAGTAGGTCTTAAAAGTTCTCATCACAAGGAAAAAAAACTAGTGTGACAGATGTTAACTAGACTTATTGTGGTCATCATTTCTTAATACATACAAGTATTGAATCATGTTGTACACCTGAAACTAATATAATAACATTATGTGGTATGTCAGTTACAACTCAATGAAAATAGATAGTCATGCTAAGCAAGGGTCTCTAAGGGTTTTCTGTAAAGGTTCAATTACTAAATATTTTAGGCTTTGTGGGCCATGCAATCTTTGTCATAACTATTTAACTCTGCCACAGGATTGTGAAAGCAGCCCATAGACCATGTGTAAATGAAAGAGTGTAGCTGCGTTCTAGTAAAACTTTATTTTCAAAAATAGCTGGCAAGTCACATCTGACTAATGGGCCATAGTTCATTAATCCTTGCTATAAAGGGCATAGCCCTGAGGTATATTTTTTTCATAGTAAAGCATCAATAAATGTTATGACATTTATTGATCTCTCTATGATTAGTATTACTACTACCTTTATTACAGTAGCAATTGAGTAATTCATACATGAAAGTAAATATATTAAATTACTGACCTTTACTTTTTTTTAATTTTAAGCTTGGCAATAATTTTTTGAGTACTTTTTTTATTCTGGGAGACTGTCCTGTACATTGTCAGATGCTCAGCAGCATCACTGCCCCTACCCCTAGAGGTAGCACCCCCACGACCTGAAGTGTCTGCACATGCCGTTAGTGTCCCCTGGTTACAAGGAAGAGCATATAACTGCCCTCAGTTGAGACCATTGCTTTAGAGAAATACTACTTTCTCTAAAATCTTCTATTCAGGTGCTAGCTCTCTCTTCTTGTAAGGATTTAGTGAGAGCACCGGTTGTAGAGACAGACCACAGACCTACTTTGGAATCCTAGATCCTCTGCTTCCCTGCTATGTCATATTAGTAAAGTTACTTAATTTCTCTACTCTGAATTCTTTTCATTAACAAAATGAGAGATAATGCCTACATCATAGGATCGTTAAAAACATTAAATTAGAAAACATTTGAAAAAGCATCTAGCAGAGTACCTGGTATATAATGAATATTTAACCAATACAGGGTCTGGCAGAAGTAAGGCCTGCTTGAGTGTGGTTGGTAGGGTAATGATATGGGTGTAATACTTTATAGTTTTAGTATGAACATTTCACCTAAAATGTCATATGGTATGCTTGAATGTGGTATTGTTATGTTACAGAATTACATGCCTATGATGTTGTAATAAAAGGGGGGCATTATTCGTGCCAGACCCCGTATCATTCCCGAACCAGGTCTGGAATATTGTTATGTCCGGCCTGTACCCTGTACGGTGCTTGTCATGCCGTGAACACTCTGAGTTAGTGCAGTCTTCCTGGCCACTTCTGGCAGCTCGATCACATTTGCTGATGTATTGCCAAACATCCTGGAGTACAGATTTTTATAAGTTATCTATACAGATATTCTAATTCCTGCTTTTTAACTTTTTCCACTAAGGAATATCTTGTACCAGAATTATCAAGTGAAGTACAATCTCTCTGGTCCAAAGCTGCTAAACTCTTTGAGTCTGAGGGGGCCAAAGTAATCGAAGTGTCCCTGCCCCACACCAGGTATTCAATTGTCTGCTACCATGTGTTGTGTACATCAGAAGTGGCATCGAACATGGCAAGATTTGACGGGCTAGAATATGGTAAGATGGCTGTGTTTTGGATTTTTAAGGTAGTTGTCTCAACATTTGAAAGATTCCCTTATTAGTGGGAAAAATTATTATCCAAGGTAATATTAATGATTTAAAGAAGTAAATCAGTGAATCTTTTGTTATTTTAGCATTATACTTACACTACTCATCACTGATACCTCTGTTTGGTTCACCTTTCTGGACCAAACATCTTCAAGGGATACCTTCAAGAGACAGTAGCTTATCTTTGTATTCTGTGTCTAATATAGTACTTAGCACATAGTAAAGGCTCAGTAAACATTTCAATGAATGAACAAATGAACAAACAAATAAGGGAATGAACAAATGATGTTTCCCTCTTGGTTACTTTCTTCCCTCTCCTTGATTCCTAACTGGTAAGTCTGTCACAAAGAAAATAAAGAATTAAAGGCAGTCTCCCACAATTTTAGCATTGGTCAGAAATGTGAATATAAGTCTGCTTTTCAGCCAAATTTCCTTTTCAAGTAACACCTCTTTTTTATTTTCAGGTCACAGATGTGACATTAATGTGTCAACTGAAGCCATGTATGCTGCAACCAGGCGAGAGGGCTTTAACGATGTGGTGAGAGGGAGAATTCTCTCAGGAAACTTTTTCTTATTAAAAGAGTAAGATAATCCGTTTAGGAATTTTCCCCTTTCTTAAAAACTCAATGGTAAAGTAGTACCAGGTCCTGTGAGTTGAGATATTTGCTAAAGAGGCAAAATCCTATGACTTGAATTAGAAATCATAATTTAAGGTTTATTTATGGTACTTTTGGTTCCTGGTTATTCAGAAACACACAAAAAATAATTGATGTTCTAGTTAAATGACTAATACAGACTAAGTAGGAAGCCTTGAAGGATTTTGGCCTCATTAAGTGTCCTCTGTTATTGCCACATTGGCTTACTGCTGTTAAGTAGGAGCTTACACTGAAAAATTTAGTAAATCAGCTTAGTTTTCTCTTCTATTTTATATATATATATATGAGAGAGAGAGAGAGATCTCTATACACACACACACACACACACACATACCTGTTTGCTCCACAAAAGAGTTCTGAATGGCAAACCATGGTTGCCAAGGCTGGGGAAAATGGGGAGATATTGGTCAAAGGTAGAAATTTTCAGTGATAAGACGCGTAAGTTCTGGGATCTAACGTACAGCAAAGTTACTACAGTTAACAATACTGTATTGTATACTTGAAAGATGCTGAGGGAGTAGATCTCAAATGTTCTCACCACACTCAAGCAAACCCTCGAGGTCTGCGTGCTTTCTCCTGTCCAATACTCTGCACTGGGAAGTTGTGGCCATGGGCCTCCCCGAACTTCTGATCTAGTTCTCTTTAACTGAGGACCCCTCCTCTCCCCCCTAAACTGTTTAGTTTCCTCCTCTCAAGGCTGAGGCCTGAAAAATGCTCCAGGCGTTGGTCTGTGGCAGTCAAAGGGCTTCACTTATTTGCTTCCCTTCTCTCAGAGCTCCTTCTCCTGAAAAAGCCTGTTGTCTAAGGCCTGAAAGTAGTGGTTTCATTTTGTCTTGTTTTCTAGGTGTTTAATATGGCAGGGTAAGTCCCATTCCTATTACTGTGTCATTGATGGAAGCACAGGTACTGCTTTTGAATCATTATTTAAAGAAGGAAGAAATTTAATAGAAAACAGAAGTATTTGGCCCTGGCTGGTGTGGCTCAGTGGATTGAGTCCCGGCCTGCAAAGCAGAGGGTTGCCAGTTTGATTCCCACTCAGGGCACATGCCTGGGTTGCAGGCCAGGTCCCCAGTAAAGGGGTGCATGAGAGGCAACCACACATTGATGTTTCTCTCCCTCTCTTTCTCCCTCCCCCCCCATCTCTATAAATAAATAAATAAATAAAATATGAAATATTTTTTTTTAAAGAAAGAGAAACAGAAGTATTTGTTCTTTTATAAAATTCAGGTTTGAGGAATGCTGTTAATATATTATTTGAGCCATCTACTGTTATTATTGTTTAAATTACAGGTGATGCCTGCATTCATCTCTATATTTAGAATCTGTCGTCAAATGATAGTAAGGACATCTCTTGTTTCTATAGCATTCTTTAGGGTAAAAAAGATTCCACATTTTTAATTTATTATATTTGGTCTGCAGTAAGACTGGAGTTGTGATACTCATTTTTACAGATAAGGAAATTGAAGTTAGAATAGCTAGTACTTTTGCTAGCCTTCATTAGTAGCTTCAGGAGGATTTAAAGAGCATTTTCTTTTTCTCTTTGCTTGATTGACTTACAGCAACACCTACATCTGACTAATTCATTAATCTTTTCAGTAAAGTATCTTTTCTTGAATTGCGCATTTCCATCCTGGGCCGTGGCTGTCCATAAAGCACAGGATTGCAAAAACAGCATACTTTCCCCTTTCTGTTTTTATCTTTTTCTTTTTAAATCTTTATTGTCTTTTTCTTCCATTACCATTTAGTCCCCTTATACCCCTCTCCCCCCAGCAATCACCACACTGTTGTCCATGACCATGAGTCCTTTTTCCTTTTTGCTCAGTCCCTCCACCCACTGACCTCCCCCCATCCACTAGCTGTTATCCTGCTCTCTATGTATGAGTCTTTCCCAATTTTCTTGTTAGTTCATCTTGTTCATTAGATTCCACATATGAGTGAAATCATTTAGTTCTTTTTTTCTCTGACTGGCTTGTTTCACTTAGCACAATGTGCTTCAGGCTCATCCATGCTGTCACAGAGGATAAAATGTTCTTCTCTTTTATGGTGGAGTAGTATTCCATTGTGTAAATATCCCATGGTTGTTTTATCCACTCATCTATTGATGGATACTTAGGCTGCTTTCATACCTTGGTGATTGTAAATAGCTCTGCAGTGAACATAGGGGTGGTTATGTTCTTTCAAAATTAGTGTTTTGGGTCCCTTCAGATATAGTCCCAGAAGTGGGACAGCTGGGTCAAAAGGCAGTTTCATTTTTAATTTTTTGAGTTATCTCCACACTGCTTTCCATAGTGGCTGCACCAATGTGCATCCCACCAGCAGTACAAAAGGTTTCCCTTCTCTCTACCTCCTCACCAGCACTTGCTGTTTGCTGGTTCCAGAGCCTGTTTCCTAGTGTCTAATTCTGATGGCATGTTAGAATTTTGCAAAACCTCAGAATCCTTATAATAACTCGTTACAGTTATAGTATAGATGAAATAAGACATTGTAATAGAAAGAGGATTGGAATGAGCCTCCAGGGACCCAGCTGGAGTCCTTCCTGTAGCCACTGCCAATCTCTGTAATCTTTGCAAAATCATTTACTTATAATGCTTGGCATTCCTCACCTGAACATGAATGTTCCAGTTTTATGGTGTCCCTGGAAGTGTTAATATTTTCTAATTGTATATTCAGAATTGCATCAAGTAGTTCTGATTGATTAAATTCCAGATCTATAAATTTTGAATAACATCACAGTTAAAGAAAAGTCATTTTTATGTGTCATGAGGTATCTACATGCTGCCTGCTCATGAAAGCTGAGAACCCAGTGATTCTTTAACAGGCCTCATGTATGCGAATCATTCAAGTAAATAATAAAAAGTCCTTAAAATAGCACTTGTTTTTTTTCCCCACAGAAACTATGAGAACTACTTCGTCAAAGCACAGAAAGTGAGACGACTCATTGCTAATGACTTTGTGAATGTTTTTAACTCTGGAGTGGATGTCTTGCTCACTCCCACCACCCTGAGTGAGGCAGTGCCGTACACGGAGTTCATCAAAGAGGACAACAGAACCCGAAGTGCCCAGGATGACATTTTTACACAGGCCGTAAACTTGGCAGGTGAGGATTCTTTAAGACCATTCTGGTTTTCTTTACATTCTTGGGTAGGCACCGTGGTCTTCAACTTAGGTTCTAGCTAGATTGTTTTCTAAAGGCGATTGCTGGTCTTCTGGAGTGCTTAGAAAAGTGTGTGTGGAATGCATGTGCGTAGGCCCCCACATACTTGTATTCACCACACACATGTATTCAGAATCAGTCCACCTAGCAGCATAGTTTTTGACTTTTATTTTAAAAGTTTTCAAGCCTACAAAAAAATTGAAAAGTAGTGTAATAAATGCCCATATGCCCTTTGCCTGGATTCATCCCTTTTAACATTTTGCTTCATTTGCTTTTTTCTCTATTCCTTTCTTTCTCTCTCCACATACACGTGCATATGCACACACGTGCACACACATATGCACACCCACACTCACTGTGTCTTAGCTAAATAATTTGAAAGTTTCAACATCGTGACACTTCACCTTTATCTTGAATCTTAAAAGAATACATTCTCCTATGTAATGACAATTCCACAATCACACCTCAGAAAACTAATATAAATACAGTAATTTGACAAATACAGTCCACATTTAAATGCTCCCCAATTTTAATCTAAATAATTAAGTTCCTGAATTAATTTAAATTCTCAGTTGTACCAAAAATGTCTTTTATAAGTTGTTTTTCCCCTGACATATATTTTTGTTTGTAATATCTTTTTAAATCCCCCAGTTCTCTGTGTTTTTTTAGAGTTACATCAGACTGTATTGTAATTTTTATTCCAATCAGCAAACCTAATGTAGACCACTCAAGAGGAAGTAGAAGGTCTATTGTACGCACCTCTACTTTTGCTCATTGCATTTCTCCCTTCCTGACGTATCGGGATTCTTTGTTTTTATCATATCTTTTCTGTTCAAAGGAATACCCTTAGCCATTCCTTCGTGGTAGGTCTGCTGGCAACTAATTGTCTTTGCTTTCTTTTCATTTTTAAAGATTGTTTTTACTATGTGCAGGACTCTGTTTTAACATTTATTTAGACTTAAAAATTGTTGTGCTACTTTCTTCTGGTCTGCTTAGTTTCTGATAAGAAACCCCCCCCCACACACACACACACACCTTTTAAGTTTTTTGTTTTAGTGACATCGACTTTCTTGAAGAGTGTAGTTCACTTGTCCTGTAGGATGTCCCACCCATAATCTGGATTGTCAGGGTGCTTCTTTGTGATTGGGTTGAGTTAGACGTGTTCGACAGAAATACTATATACCTTCCTATCAGGAAACAGTAACACTAATTTATTCCACTTTTGGAAACTAAGTTGAGCCCTTGGTTTGGAAGTAACTGCAGATGTTTTCCTTGTAAAGTTACAGTTTTTCTTTTTAGCAGTTACAAGCTTTGGGTGAGGTGATACTTGAGACCATGTGACTATTTATTACCCAATAAACTTGAACCCAGATTTAGCATCCGTTGATGCTTCTTACCTGAATTATTTATTACCTAGAGAATTACAATATACTGCTTTTTCTAATTATATCACTCCTTCTATACATATTAGTTAGAAATCTTCTCTAAACAAGTCTTTCCTTTTTTGAATTCAATGTATTATAAGCAGTTGCTATCATTATTGTTTTTGGTGACCAAATTGTCCCTGGTTTAGTCTACAGAAGCCCCTTCAGATTGTATGTGTCCTTTAGATCTGTCCCCATTAATTTTAGAAAACTTCTTTATTTTATGGCATAATAATATATCCCAAGACTTTATACATTTTCTTCCCAAAACCAGGAATTAAAACTGCCACGAGCTACTATTTCTATCTAACAAATTGGAGAAATTTATAAGCTCAACATTGGCAAGGCTGTAAAAAAGAAAAACAACTCATTTTGCTGATGGGAGTTCAAAATGATACAACTATTTTGGAGGGAAATTTGGCAGTATCTAATTACATATTTATTCATCTTTTGATGAAGCAATCCTCTTTGAGAAACTTTCAAGAATACCAAAAAAACAAGGTGAGATTCACTAGGGCATAGTGTGAAGTGGCTAAGTGCTGAAAATAGCCTAAATGCTCAACCATAGAAGAATGGTTGGATGAATTACGGTAAACCTGCATAATGAAATAGTATGCACCTATAAAAAGGAATGAAGATGTTCCTCATAACAGTGATTTTCAACACACACTTCACAAAGGAACGTGCAAAAGTATGTATGTCATATAATTTTTGTTGTTTTTTAAACCTTATTCTGTCATGGACCTACTAGCACTGGAAAGTGGAAGGGGTCTCAGCTTCTTAGGATGGAGAATTAATCAACTAATGGGCTTCTTTCCTTTGCTCAGGATTGCCAGCAGTGAGTGTCCCTATGGCCCTCTCAAACCAAGGGTTGCCAATAGGACTACAGTTTATTGGACGTGCATTTTGTGACCAGCAGCTTCTTACAGTTGCCAAATGGTTTGAAAAACAAGTACAATTTCCTGTTATTCAACTTCAAGAAATAATGGATGATTGTTCATCAGTCTTTGAAAATGAAGAGTTAGCTTCTGTTTTTCTAAAACAGTAGTGATAAATATATCATGCAAATTAAAATGACATAAAGATTTTATATTCTATAGAAGTCAAGTATCTTGCTAAGTTCTTGTAACTTGGTTCATTGTCAACATAATCATTCCTTGGAATCACTTTTTAAAATTCTTGTGATATAGTTAATTATAAATAACTTGCCAGCATTTATTAAGCATCTGCTAAGCACCAAGTATTGGATTTCTACCATAGCACAAGACACATGTTCCCGAAAAACTATGCATTTTGCAAAAATGTTCACTAAAAAGAACAGAGCTAAAGAAGACACACCCAAAGAGGCCGAAACTAAGACACACCGTAATTAAAACGCAAAAGGTTAAAGACAGAGAATCTTAAAAGCAGCAAAAGAAAAGCAGTTAGTTACCTACAATGGATCCTCCATAAGACTGTCAGCTGATTTCTTAAAAAAAAACTTTGCAGGCTAAAAGGGACTGGCAGGAAATAGTCAAAGTGATGAAAAGCAAGGACATACAACCAAGATTATCCAGCAAAGCTATCATTTAGAATCAAAGGGCAGATAAAGAGCTTCCCAGACAAGAAAAAGCTAAAGGAGTTCACCACCAAACAAGTATTATATGAAATGTTCCAGGGTCTTCTTTAAGAAGATGATCAAAAATATGAACAGTAAAAATGGCAATAAATATTTATCGATAATTGAATCTAAAAAACAAACAAACAATCAAAACAGAAACAGAATAATAGATACAGAGAATGTTTTGATTGTTGACAGATGGGAGGGGGGTCAGAGGGATAGGCAAAAAAGGTGAAGGGATTAAGAAGTACAAATCTGTAGTACAGAATAGTCATGGAGACATGAAGTACAGCATAGGAAATAAAGTAGCCAAAGAACGTAAGTGCATGACCCATGGACATGGACAACAGGGGGGTGGGGGGCAAAGGGGGAAAAACTGGGGCAACTGTAATAGCATAAATGAAATATAATTAAAAAATAAAAACAGCTTTATTTGATATATTAATTGTTGAATAACTGTGTTGTACACCTGAAACTAATATATTTTACATTAACTATTTTAATTTTTTTAAACAAGCTAGAGTAAAAATAAGTTTAAGGATTAACATCTCAAATCTTACACATCTTTGTCACCAAAACATTAACAAAAACAATAATTGGGACCTTCAGAGGTAATCTGAACAGGCAACTCAACACGTGACAGAGGCCGCCTCGGGGGGTGTGGCCCAGGGCACAGAAACAACAAAAGGAGTATTTGCCTTTGCTGAGCAACGCAGGTGTCAGAGGAGCTCCGATCACAGGAGGAAGCGCGACTTGTGGGGCCCAGAGCCCTGCACGCCTGGAAGTGTGCTTTGCTGGGGAGGAGTCCCAGGTGCAGGCACTCCTCCCGTTTCTCTAAAAATAGATGTGCACTGACGGAGAACTTTCATGCAAAAGGTTGAAATTTTACTTCTGCTAGTCCAGAGCCCTGTGCCAAAGTACCAAAGCAACTCTGTGTTACACTGAATTCATTCTCATTAACCGATTCCAAATGAACTCATTGATGTCATAGAAACATTGGTTGTAACCTAACTGCCCGTACTGGACTTAAAACCTGGTGGCTTGTGAAATGTGATTTTAGTGAGAAAGTTGCAATATACAGTAGTCTCCCCTCGTCTGAGGGAGTATGTTCCAAGATCCCCAGTGGATGACTGAAGCCACAGATAGTTCCATGCCCTACATACATTATGGGTTTTTTTCTTATAAATAAGGCACAGTAAGAGATGAACAACAAAAATGAGTAATAAAATGAAATTATAATATACTATAATAAAAGTTATGCGAATACAGCATTATTAAGTAAAGTAAGCCTTGCCTGAACACAAGCACTGCACTACCATGCCAGTCACTCAGATAACCAAGAGGGCTACTAATGAACAGGCAGGTGGTGGATCCAGCGTCAATGTGCTGGACAAAGGGACGACTTCTGCCCACCTGGTCAGATTTGGATGGCTCAGGATTTCATCATGCTACTCAGAACTGCACACACTTTACAATTTATGAATTGTTTATTTCTAGAATTTTCCACCTAATGTGTTCAGACTGCCGTTAACTGAAATGACAGGATGCAGAACCACAGATAAGTGGGGACTATTGTACACAAGTAATACAATAGGAGCAACTCGGAGATGACTTGGTGAAGATGCCAAAGAGGAGGCCTGGGGCCTCCCTGACCCCAGATTCTCTATGTGATTCCCTTACCCTCCTGACTTTCTTTACAGGTTCTCTGTATTTGGGCCCCTTGAGCCTAAAGTGACTTTCAGCAGCCACCCTTACTCAAAACTAAAAAAACACAAGTCAGATGAATATCATACTACCCCTGTAGAGTTTCATTGTTGACGTCTCTGTCTTCACCAGAACACTGCTGTCATCGCACGCTGACTGGCATCCTAATTGGGCACCTACACCTTGTCGAGAAGTCTAAGTAGGAAGCTGAATTATTATTTAACAAATTCACTTTGTTCAGCAAGCAAAAATCTTTTCTCTCTGGGAAATACACAAGGGAAGAGTGTGAGAGGTGGAACCACTGGAGTGTCACAAGGGAGGAATTTAACCTGCCTGTTAGTTTTCATTCATAGTTATCTTTCCTCACTGGGATTCTCCCACTCCCAAATACTAAGTCTGAAAACTTCACATAAAAACTTTCTGTGCAGGCCCTCATAAAGTTTGACTGAATTCCTGAAAGGGAGAAATTCATGAGAGAGAATAGTATTACCATATTTTTCAGACCATAAGATGCACCTAGATTTTAGAGGAAAATAGGAAAAAAAAACTTTTAAGCAAAAAATGTGGTAAAATATTTAATAACATAAATAACAGTATTTCACCAATGTAAATATAAACAGAACTCAACAGCAGCATTAACAACCATTATTCCTCCCCAATTTGGGGGTGGGAGGGAGTGCATCTTACAGTCTGAAAAATACGGTACTTTATAACCACCTTGGTTGAAGGAGCTAGTGTGATAAAAAGAAAGCAAATAAAAAAATCTTTGCCCCAGTCTTTTTCTTTTACGTGCATATAATTTGAAATTACAAATTTTCTAAGACCATTTATGTAGTTTCTCTTATTCTTAACAGCCCTCATCGCTGCATCTCTTCTTGAACTGCACTATCTGAAAATAGGGAAGTGAAACACATTGACTGTTCTCACATAATAATACCCAAGTAGCATGAAACAGTACCTAATTTGGTTTTCTTTCTCCTCCACCTTTACACTCACCCTAGCAGATTTCATTTTGCCAAATCACTGCCTGGGAGTTTAAGGGGGAAATGGTTTCTGTGTCTCAGCTAATTAAACGCAGAAACTGAGCAGCGGGCTGCTAGAGCAGAGCCCTTCTGAAAGGTGAGGGTGGCCGGCTACCAATGGGAGATGAGTTCCTTGGTAACACACAGCAAAACTAAGCAAAAGTTAGAGTGGACAAAAGCATTGCTCAAGGGGAAAAATGTGATGATTACGCACCCTGACACCACAAAACAGAGCCAAGGGAGCAAGTAGTTGGCAAACCAGTGTTCCCTGTTGGCCCGCACTCAGCGTGACCAAGAAAATCACTTGAAACCCGGGAGGAGGAAAGTCCTCTTTGAGTGGCCTGTTGACACCAGCTCATCAGGAACACAGAGCACCTTGTACAGAAGAGCTTCTAGAAATTACAAAGACTGGCAACTCATATTAGGAAATCGCCTGTACCTTCTAATGCAGACAAACACCTTTCAGGATTTTAGAACAGAATCTGAAGGACAGTAATGAGGTCTGGTGACAGGGCACCAGTGAGCAGACTGTTGGGAATTCTGCAAATTGTGTTGCACGCACCCTGCTCCACCCAGAGCAGGGGAGTGGACTCGTGGAGTTTTCCCGATGGCTTTTATGACGAACGTTTCACTCTATTTTTAATCTCTCTTTCCCCAATCATCTGATGGTGCACACCAAGGCTAAAGGTGTGCCGACTGTGCGAGCCTGGTATAAAATGTGTGTAAGAAGCATCAGAGGACAGTTTAAAACGCAAGGCTTTCCTCAGTCATTTCATAGCGTAAGCAGTGTGTACACTAAACACAAATCTGAAAATTTCATAAAGGTAAATAGCACAAGAAAAACCCAGCCAACATTAAATACAAGTAAAAATGGCAAGATTTCAGAGGAGCTTTTTATTTTTCTTCATACCTTGATGGAATGTAAGCCCAAAAGGATCTTAGGGAGTTTATTAAAAATACGTTATGACAATGGTCTAAAAATAAATAGTTGAGGAAAATCAGTGAAGTGATAAAAGTAGGGAGAGGATAAAATCAGGATAAGATTAAAAATGTTACTGAAGGCATTGATACAGATGCTCAAGGCTGTTTGGTGTGATATCTTTCTCAGTAGCTTTCCCAGTGAGTAAGGCCACCAGATTTAAAAGTCAGATAAACCTGGGCGTGAATCCTATTACTGACCTTTCTGAGCTGTGTGTCCGGTCTGAGTTTCTGTAAAATAGAGATAATGTCTTCTCCAAGGGATGGTTGGGAGGATTAAATTTAAATGATGCACTGATTGTACCTAGGAAGATACCTGACTGAATAAGCACTCAGTAATCTGTAGCTGTAAATAAATGTATACAGCCATGAATTTAAGTTATTTTCTTATAGATACTTGGTAACTAATAGTATAAGGCCAAATTGCAATTTACTGAAAAATTAGGCTAGAGATGGGTTATATAGTTCCCTCATGACCTGGCTTCCTCTGAGGATAAACTTTAACCTATCTGGAAGAACCAATGGATTACATATTTTTAAAGCAATTTCCATGTTAAAGAACTGGCAAACAAAGGGTTCAAAGACCTGGAGGTCTTCAAAAGGCCCCTGTACTCTGCCAATCAAATCAGGAGGAAGACCAACATGTTCTCTTAAGAATGAGGCCTCCCAAAATATGTTTCTGTGGGGAAAATGCTTTTGATAGAGACCAGTTCATCATAAAACTGAATTCTACTTCAGTTTATAGATACACAGATCATTTAGGCCCCAAGTCACTGCATCTTAGCTGCAATTATTTTAACATAGGCAAATTTTAAGGTTGATATTCCCAATGGCCAAGTAGTATAGCTGTCAGGAAATAAGGTTAACGAAACACCCATGGGGCATCTCAGGGTAAGCAGTTTCACTCCTTGGTGAATCTTCCAAGGTAAATCAGTTGCAAACTAGAGTGCAGAATAATATGATAGCATTGGTGTTAGGTGTCTGCCAAGTCGAAAACTGAAATTTTAGCATAGTTCATTTAGCAGGACCAGTTCTTATAGAGGCCAGTTATAGTACAGAGTTCCTGTCTGTCGTCTGTGATAAGGATGAATGCATCTAAATCATCCCAAAACGGTTGCAAGTCATTAACAGGCAAGCCGAAAGGACTGACGCTAGAATTCCGGAGTTTTAAGACAATAACCTAGGAAATTCTGATATAGGATTGGC